GCCGGCGCTTGAGTTCTGATGTCCAAGCGAAGGTGCACATTTTCAGCTGACCTGACCTCTTTGGCAAGTAAACACGATCATTTTGTTTGTTTACAAACTGCTTGACAACGAATGTTTTCTCATCGTCAGAGAAAACCAAATTCGGCAGTTCACCATTTTCGGCCAAGCGAAGCAACTCTTTAGCTCTTTTTAGTCTATTTTCTTTCTGTTGCGGTGTAAGTTCTTGAACTTTTTGCAATTTCAATGGTTTTACCCCGAGTTCATTTTTCAATATTTGCCGAATGGAATATTGCGATATGTTCAGCTCACGAGCCATTTTTCGGCCACTGCGACGCGAGTTTCGATCAAGTAGCTTCTTTACTTTTCTTCCGTCCACTTCCACGTTCACTTGACGTTGGGCTACGCCATCAGTATCACGGTAACGATGGGCGATGATACGAGACACAAAAGATTTATTCACATTTAAATGCGGGAGTGCTCTTACGATAGCCGCCTGTGGTTTTCCATCCAAATATAAATAAATCGCATTATCACGCTTTAATTCCATCACGAATAAGTTTTTTTTTCCTGGAAAAAATGCTTTTGTACGCTTTTAAACCATATAATGAGCTGGAATAATTTTAACAGCTGTCGGAAGAGTGGCTTATAAATGACAGCAGTGTGAAGTTTGTTGTAGTTTTTTATATCACCTTGTGTGTCAAAATTTTATTTATTTATTTATTTTTTTTTTTTTTTTTTTTGAAAGTAGATTTTTGCATGCTTTCTTGTACGAAGTCAATTGGAGCTTATTTTCATAGGCATTTTTCAAAGATTTTACAAATTTCAATCATTTTTCATTGAAAATTGTCAATTTCAAAATTGGTTTGACAGTTCATTGTCCCAGCAGCTGTGTGGATGCGACAACCTGTATTATTCTACCATGCATGGCATGTAACATATTATATAGTTTACACAGTAAAGTAAAACTTGAAGAAAATGTTGAAACGCCTAAAATTATGCTCTAAACAGCTAGCTATAAATCAGGAAAAGTCACTTTACATATGACTCCAGCTTGAAGTGTAAACGATTTTTTTTTAAATTTTCCATATGAAAATCTCTTATAAAGCTGCACAGAACTTTCAAGATATGATTGCATAAATCACGACCTCATTATACCTATGTATATGTAAGAAAACACTCTGGCTATACGCAAATATATTTACAATCCAAATAAAATAACCAAAATAACAGCAACGAAAATAAAAAAAAAACATCTTGCAATCTGAATTAAAGGAATGCATATGGTGGAAATATGATATGTACGACACGATTATTTAAAACCAAAAGGAAATTCATAGTATTTGTGTGTGTGTGTGTGTTGTGCTGTGCGGTGTTCTTCGACGTCGTCGTCTTCTTGTGTTTCAAAACTTATTGGCACAGCAATATAAAGCCATAAGGAAACCAAAACGAAATGACAGAGAAAAATCCTCATGGTCCCCCTCCAAAAAAACAGCTACAAAAAAAAAAACTACAAAGTGGGCAACACAACACCAAACTAAATTTAACACCGATCAAATCTCCACTTTATGCCATGGGTGGCGGAGGTATTCCAACTACAAATATTTGTGTACACACACACACACACACACACACATGAAATCATGTTCAATTTGTTGCAGTTCTTGGGAGACTCCAACACCATGGTCATATCGTGTGCTTCTGTCCATGTCATTGCATTAAAGGAACGATATTTATGTACCCCCCCCCCCATTCCACGCCATCTCTGTATAAAATGAACGAACACCTGAATGATGTTGCTTGGCATCAGGTGTCACCCGCCTGGCCAACAAACAAACAACAACACTTTGAAGTGTGTGTGTGTGCGTTTTTTTTTTGTTAAGAATTTTTAATTAATTTCATATTGAAATTAAAAACTCTTGGGATATTTGCATTTTTATGCATTATTTCAAATTGATTCTTATTAAAATAATAATAAGGCCGATGAGGATTTAAGAACAAAAAGAGAGAGAAATATTGAAGAGTTTTTTTTACTGGGAGTTTACAAACTCTTGCTGGACAATATTCTTCTTCTTCTTGCAATGACTTGTACACAGCGAAAATCAATCACCTTTTTTGATAACCCGTTGTATGATTTTTTTGTGCAAACAATTTGGAAACATTTGGTCCGTTCCAGACATCATAAATGAAAAATCGGTTATAATATGTCAGCAAACTTAAGGCGAGAATACAAAAAATGCCTTTTTTTAATGGCTTAAGTCATTGGCTAGCTTCTCCGTAGAGGAAGAAAGGAATGTTAGGTTGACTTAGTTCGATTTTGTCCCAACTTTCCTTTGTTTTTTTTTTTTCGAAAAAGCAAGCTGATGGTTTAAACTAGTCAAATTTATGTATTCTCACCTTTAATTGTCAGATGGGCTTACTGGCCGATCTGATGTATACATATTAAAAGGCATGGTAGAAAATACAGGTATCAACCATTGATATGTCAACATTTTTAATTTTTTTCCAAAAAAAAGTAAATTTTAATAAATTTTCTTATACGACAGCAATCGCAGGTTGTTATGATATAAATTTTTCAACAATTTTTTTTTCATTCAAAATTTTCAATTTCAAAATTGGTTTGATACTTCATTGTTTCATCAGCTGTGTCGCTGTAACTGTACAGGGTGAGATGGAAAAACTGCAATCAACTTCAGACTGCTGACATTTCTAAGCCACTCGTCCGACAGCTGTTAAAATTATTCCAGTGACAGCTCATTATATTGTTTACAAGCGCACAAAAGCATTTTCGTGAGAATTTCCAGAAAAAAACTCAAGCACCGACCTTGGTGATGGTGTGGGATGCCAAATAATAGTTTTTTTTTTTCAAAGTTTTTTAGATAGTTTTTTTTTTTGTTCTACACAGTAATTAGAGGAAAATAATAATAAAAAAATCATACTGTGTCATTTTTCCAACAATGTCTAATATTTTTATCCTCCTTATGGCAACTCTGGTGTTTATTTACTCTATGGCTGTTATAATACAAAATAACAGTCTCTCTCTCTCTCTCAGTTACTACCGCTATCCTTTCAATTTAACCGATCTATACATTTGTTGCTGTGTAAATCAATATGCGTTGAGATAAAGATTATCTCTCTCCTCCCCCATCCCTCTCTTTCTCGCCCATGCAAATGTTAACCATGTAGTGTTGTTGTTAGTCTTCGTCATCATCTCGTCATAAATTGTAAATCAAGTATTGTATTTTAATTTAAGCTCAACTAAATATTAAATTACTTCAAGTCATAAATCTCTCTTGAAAATAAGCAGAAAAACTGTTTTATATCAAGTTTTGTATTTTTGTGAGATGCTGTTGTTTATGTTGTTGTGTTTGGTGTGCTTTACAAGTTTTTCATAGGTATATGAAAATATTATAGAAGGTAACCCACATATGTGTGAATATGTGTATATAACCTTAATATTATATTATTTAGGAATCCAATGATGTTCAGAATAATTATGTTTATATTAGAGCTTTTTGGCAGGTTAACCTCCTTCATTCATAGATGGGCAAGTACGCTTTCGTTTGTGTCTCCTGTTTTCTGTCAATGATCGATAAGCATCAATACACCGACTTTTCGCATAATTTCTAAGAATTATTTTTATAAAATAATATTTGAGCACATTTTAATTTTATTTCTGTCTTAAAATTAATAAATAAATCGAAATTCGACACAGGAAATGTATTAAGAATTTCTCTTTCATTTTTCCCATCCTTGCCTAAATGAGTCTTTATGTTACGTATGAGCGTATTTATTGGCGGTTAATTGTTGTTTTACAAAAGAAAAAATGTGAAAATAATATGGTGTTGGGAAAAACTAATATGTGTCTGATTTGCCCTAAAATTTGTCACAATTGTTGCAAATTGTTAATGAAAGTCGTCTGTTAACACGAAAGATCTGGTAAAGAGAGCGATTTGAGAGAACATGAATTTCTCTTTCATTGTTTTCCCATCTATGCCTTAATGAGTGTTTATGTGACGTATGACGTATTTAATGGCGGTAAATTAATGTTTTACATAAGAAACATCAAAAAACAAAGGTGTTGCTGGGAAAAACTATTTTAAATAATTAAATTCTCTATCAGAAGAATCGAGTTGTTAATTTTCATTTACAAATCACTGTACATTGCTCGTCCATTTGTCACTGTGGGTATTGATATGACAAACTCATTGGTAAAGTGTAAAAAAACAGAATCTTTAAATGTTATTTGATACCTTTAACAAAATAACAATTTCATGTCTGCTTGAGTATGAACGACGACGATGGCATGCACACCAATCTGAAAAACAAGTCATCAGACAAGCAAAACCAAACGGCCAACCAACCAGCCAGCCAACCATTCATACCAACCACGCCAAAGAAGACTTCAACTGTAGAGGGTAAAATTGTGGCAGATTCCAACACCCCAGTGTGTGTGTGTTTTTTTTTAAATTACGCAGCCGGCTTGCTTTCTTTGTTCAGGTCGTGTCGTATCGAATGTGACACATGAAACTTGCGATCCATGCCTGTCTTTGAGGCAATGATACAATTTTAGCCCAAAGTGTTGAAACACTGACCCCCCTTCCCCAAGCCCAACATCATGTGGGAATACAATAACACAACAATGTGAATATGGCTTGTTGTTGTATATGTTATGATATTAATTCACACCGGTCTTCATATGCCATTGGAAATCCAGAATTGTTGTGTTTCAAAAACTCCAAGGAATGGGTAAAATGAGATGCTGGGTTTTTGGGATTAAGGCAGCTCATATTTTTTTAAAAAAATGGTTTTAACATTCAGCAATTTTTGTAAGCATGACACACGCTCCCTTTTTCATATGGGGCCGCCACAACCACAGAAGAAATCAAATCAAATTATTATGATCCTGCAATTATTGTTATTCTGAAATATTTTCCAATTCCCAACTTTCACCAATTCCCAACTTTCACCCAGAATCTTTCTTTTTTTTTTCACTTTTTCAGGAATTTGCTGAAAACACAATGAACGAATTGCTGGGTTGGTATGGATTCGATAGTGTCGATCGCCTGGACATCTCTGCGAAAACATCAAAACTGTTGCAAACTGCCGGTCTAATCAATGCCCAACAGCAGCAGCATCAACAACACCAGATGGAGCGGCGTCGTAGCCGAAGTAATCGTGCAAATGCTCTGATGCAAATCCAACAGCAGCAGCAACAACAACAAAATGATCATTTACGTACAAGTCTGGCTGGTGGCAGTAGCGCCACTAAAAACAACCACAACAGTATTGCTAATAGCACCAGCAGCAACAACAACAACAATACCACCACATGCAGCAGCACCACCACCCGCAATAATTATCGTGGCAATGATAGCACAGCCTCGGATCATGACACACGCAGCTCACGGGATGATGATTCGAAAAGTCCACATTCTACGGGTTTGCTAACAGCAGCGCCATCTGCATTTGATGAAAAATCAGGTGAGTAGTTTTCCTAACTGTCGCCCCAAATTGAACTAAGAAACATTTTTAAGGCAGCAAACACATGGTGTGGGGAATGCATCTAGGGGCTTAAAATCACTTTGAATTGGCCGGATCTGCTATATGGGGCTAATGTCAAATGTATACAGGGCGAATTTTTATTCAAGGATGTTACAATATTTTTTTAATATTTCTTTATTTTTATTGAAAAACAAATCCAGAAACACAAGTCATGCACAGAGATGCAAAATCATACCCTTGTTCCCAAAAAAATTTTCCTCAGCAAAAAAAAAAAAAATGCATTTGCAGAATTTTTCAAAAATATTTACCTGCAATAACAAATCCCAGTATCATCATCTAATTGTGTGAATAATACTCACATCAAACCGAAACAGATAAAGGAGGTTGCTGGCAACCAAAACTGCAAAGCTGTTGGCAAATGCAGGCAACCAGACAGATTTGGCTTGCCACATATCCTATCTGCATTTCCCCCCATTGAGTTTGGAACACAAGAAGTTCATGTTTGGTTTTGCTTTCAAAAACATCTCAAATAACACTCATTAGAGATTTCATGAGGCACACACACAGAAACAGCCATGGTGTAGAACATTGTTTCCAAAGATAGATTTTCTTCATTTTTTTTTTGGGGGAGGGAAATTATGCACGAAATCAATGAGGCCAGAAGAATTGAAAATAGTTTTTAATTCATTATTTGTTCTTTTGTTTTGCAGAAAATTGCTGTTGGTGCCGGCGTCCAGTGCCCGAAAATGCTCCCGAATTCTTGACCACCTCCGATGGACCCCGCTATTGCTCCGAATCATGTTTTACGCAAAGCCGCAGGGCCTCCTTTAAGAAGGCCAAAACCTGCGATTGGTGCAAACACATTCGTCATGCCGTCAGCTATGTGGATTTTCATGATGGTGCTACCCAGCTACAGTTTTGCTCCGACAAATGCCTAAATCAATATAAAATGCAAATATTTTGCAAAGAGACCCAGGCCCATTTGGATATGAATCCGCATTTAAAGGAGCAGGGCCTGGAGGCGGCCAGCAATGGTGCAAATTTAATAACACCTGATTTGTGGTTGAAAAATTGTCGCAGTCGCTCGGCCTCACCGGCATCGACAGTGTCCACATCGCCCATACCCAGCAGTTGTGGCGGGAATCTAGCAGAACGGCCAGTTATGCGGCCAAACAGTCCCTTAAGTCCACCGGGCAAGCTTACGGCAGGTGGCAACAATCCAACGCAACACTCAACATCTGTTTCAGGAACCTACAAACCCTTGATCTCAGTGGCTCCAGTCTCCAAATTAATGTCCAAAAGTCCGGGCATAATAGCAAGCGCACGCCAATCCCCCAAACATAATCGCAAGAAAAGACCCCTAAAGGCGTGTCCATCCACGGAAGTTTTGAATAATCGCCCAGAACCAAAGGCAGGTGCCAGTGGTAACAGTTGTCCCAGCCTCAAACCCAAATCGTTGTTACCACCCCTGGCAGAGGCAACTCGTGGTGGCAGTTTAACTCAGAACCAGACACCCTCCCTGACTCAATTTGCTGCCTCCTGTGTCCAAGATTTACACATGAATGTGCCACCTTTGTCACCAATGTTGGAAAGTCCTGCCGGATCACAACCCAGCACGCCCCACAATTTACCACCTCCTCCTGGGATGGCAACAAATGGTGGGGGGGGACGTAGTACCACCATACCAACGGCTTTCTTTGCCACCCCACCCAATTTGGGAACGGCATCACAAGCGGGACCACTGCCTCCCCCACCCATGGGAGCAGCATTTCCACCACGACCTCCACCATCATTTATGGCCACACCTGGTGGCCCCTGGCCAAGATTTTTGGGTAATTTCATGGGTTTGCCACAGGCACCAAGTGTGATACCACCCGATTTGTCAGCATTTAATGCTTTAGTTGGTACCCCGCCTCCAGTGACCGTAATGGTGCCATATCCTGTTATTATTCCCCTGCCCATACCCATACCAGTACCCCTGCCAGTGGTGGATTTTTATAAGGCCTATATGACAGCCGAGGAACGGCAAAAGTTCGATGAGCAACAGAATATTAAAAAGGAATCAGCGGCCGACAACTGTTCGGCAAATGATGAGCCTTTAGACTTTACCAAGACAAAGGAGTGCTGCCAAGAAAATACCGAAATACCAAATGAAACAAGAAAATCCAGCTTTTCCCCAGACGAAGCCACGGAGGAGACAAGAGAAGAACAGCCGGAAGAAGAACCCGAAACATCTCAAACGAATACGACCACAAATTCTCCCAGCAATGAAGATGGGGTCGCAGCCTCCACAATTCTACATTGTGTCATTAGCTCAGCCAGTCCACCAGAAAAATCACGCAACCAGGAAGAAAACTCTCCCAGTGCCACTGGCCACACTCAGACGACGGAGGAGGTAAACGCCGATGATACAGCCAACGAAGAAAACAATCAGAGGTTACCGAAATTGAAAATAACCCGATTACAAACCAAACGAACTCTCATACAAACCAAAGAATCTGAATGCTCAAGACCGTTGCGCAAGCGTAAACGCATTATAGACTGTGATTTTCAAAAGATCGCAACAACGAAGGAATCATTCGACGACGAAGACAATGACGATGAAACCCATAAGAATTGTGAACCGCCGAACAATACACGAACGACGACTGATGTGGAAATAGTAAAGGGCCAACAGAATAACAAATAATTGATAAATGCAATCTAACCCATCAAAACCCAACCCAACCAATAAAAGCAAAAAAGCACTAAGTGCTTGAAAAAAGTATTACCGAACAATAGGGCAACAAATATAATAGAAGTTTTCGAATTTTGTATTTTTATGTATGTTTATTTAAGTAAAAAAAAGTGTAACAAAATCCATGCTGCTTTTAGTTTTTATTTAATTTTGTAGTTTTCTTTTTGTAATTTATGAAATAAATACGTAATAATTTTAAGTTGCTTTTATTTAGATAATTTATTATGTACTTTTAAACATACCTATCTTAATTATGGGTTATTTCGTTATCTGAAATCTTTCACAACATTTTATTTTATTGTCCAAAGAAAAGAATTTTTTAAAAAAGTCACCCTGAGTCTGCAAAAAAAAGGAAATATATTTTTGGTAAGCTTTCCAATTTAAACCAAAATCGATAAAATATTGAATTTTTAAGGTAGATGTCAAAGTAAAAATTATTCTTCACAAAATTTCAATACCAATTGCTTTGAAATAGAAGGCTGTATATCTAAAATGTACAACCTTAAAATATTAATTTGAAATTGAATGTGGATTTTTGTAGGTTAGTTTTCTGTTTCCATGTTTTTTCCATTTCTGGCAAAATATGCTACAAAACCTCATTTTTGGAGTTCGGTGTCAAAGAGACTTATGTTCCCAATCAAATTCCACTATGAGTCGACGAACAAAAGAAATCTGTATGTGTGATATATACACTAATAAAAAATCAATTTGAATTTGTAAATGAATTTTTGTAGGTTAACTTTAGGTATTTTTCAGTTTGCAGCAAAATATCCTACAAAACTTCATTGTTGGAGTTTGGTATTAAAGAGAAATATGTTCCCAAGCAAATTCCACTATGAGTCGACGAACAAAATAAATTCGTATATGTAAAATTTACACTAACAAAAAATCAATTTGAATTTCTAAAGGCATTTTTGTAAGTTAACTTTATGTATTTTTACAGTTTGCAGCAAAATATCCTACAAAACTTCATGGTTGGAGTTTGGTATTAAAGAGAAATATGTTCCCAATCAAATTCCACTATGAGTTGACGAACAAAAGAAATTCGTATATGTGATATATACACTAACAAAAATCAATTTAAATTTGTAAAGGAATTTTTGTAGGTTAACTTTATGTATTTTTCAGTTTGCAACAAAATAGCCTTCAAAACTTCATTTTTGGAGTTTGGTCTTAAAGAGAAATATGTTCCCAAGCAAATTCCACTATGAGTCGTCGATTAAAAGAAATTTGTATATGTGATATATACGCTAACAAAAACCCCATTTGAATTTCTAAAGGAATTTTTGTAGGTTAACTTTAGGTATTTTTCAGTTTGCAGCAAAATAGCCAACAAATCTTCATTTTTGGAGTTTGGTATCAAAGAGATTTCTGTTCCTAAGCAAATTCCACCACAAGTCGCAGAACAACAAAAGTCTTTATATATTTTTTATACAACCTTAAAATATCAATTCAAATTTGTTAACGAATTTTTGTAGGTTAGATTTACAATTTTCACCAAAAATTTCCCACAACACTTCATTTCAGGAGGTTGATTGTGAAGAAAAATATGTTCCCAATAAAATTTCATTATGGGTCGCAGGGTAGTGGAAACCTGTATGTGTAATACATACCCTATTAAAATATATAATCAAAAAATTTAAACATTTTCTGAAGGTTAAAATGGCACCAAAATTTTCCTAGTTATCCGAAACACGGAAGATTTACGAAATGACCCATATGCATAGTTTTGTATGTTTGCAAGTCCCTGTTGTACTTATTTTCTGTTGAATAATTAAAAAATATATATAAATATCTATAAAAGTGTGCAATTTTCAAATATCTATGTAGTTGTTTGTAATCTAGTTATTTAAGCTCAAGAATATTACTTTTAATATAGTATTATATATGATAGTTTGTTTTTGATAATTATTTTCTATTTATTTTATTTTTATTAAATTTTTTTGATACTAACTCCTTAAAATAATGGAAGAATTAAGAAAATAATATAAAATATTTCATTGGATTTGTTATTGGTTTCATTGTGTAAACATTTAAAAATAGTGTAAAACATATAAACAAAAAATAAACAAAAAAATAAAATCTCTTTCAAAATCAGGAAAAAATATTTAATGTTTTTATTACGGGTAAAATGGAATTTAGGACCTAGACCTATATTTACAAACCATGGTACGCCAAACTCCCCGTTTCAATACAAATTTGGCTCTGGCTGACTCTATTAATAACATAAGCCATACATCGAAATTACTTCGCCAAAGGAAAAAAACATGCAGTTTTATTCTGTTTTTTTAATAAAAAATACAATTATTTGCATTCGACTTATAAATATACAAATCCTTAGGATATAAATTACAAACATAGAGTATAGTTTTTTTTTCTCAATTATTTGTGCAACATAAAAAGCTAGGTTACAAACCAGAAAAAACTACATATATTCTATATTTATGTATTGTAAAAATTAATTAAAAATGAGGTAAAATATTATCGATTAGATGTCTACGATTTTTTAGTGACACTATAAGGTCAAAATAATTCAATTGTATATATTCCATAAAGAAATCTGACTATCCATGCCGGCAACGGCCATAATGGGAGCCCTCCACATGGCCACTGGACCCGTCGAATAGGCTATGTCCATTATGGCCCCTGATTTGTGTTCGGTCAACACGGCCAGAGGTCTTAGACTCTTCCAGGAGAATATTCTGACACGACCATCCCAACCACCGGCAGAGAATACTTTTTGATCATTGCGTATTTTCAAACAATTTAGCCCGGGATTTTTGAGGGCAATATCTGAGGAACGTTGAAATCTCATTGATTGTCTTTGATATGAAAACGTGGTCACTTTGTCACCTTAAACCAAAAAAAAAGATAGGTCACTTAAAGGCAAAACAAACAAATCGAATATTCAAACCCACCAGGTCCTCCCACAACCCCCCTATTTGTAGGAGGATCATAATCCACTGCCATTGGATCCGCATCAATTTGGGCAACATCCACAACAACACCCGAACTCAGGTCCCACGTTAAGAAATGCCCACTTTCATAGCCGGCCAGACAAAATATCTGCGAGGCATGTTCGAAGGGCTTCAAACAATTCAAGGTACCCAATTTATGCGCCAGCAATTGAGCATCATCAGGTACTAACATTTGCACTGAATTCTCTGGGTCACTTGTGTGCAATACCCCAATTGTGTTTTCATCACATGGATAGAATAGCAAGGGATCATCCTGATTATTGGCATTGTTGAATAAAACCGAACGACAATAGCCGGTGTAGTTTGCAGGTATAACTATGTGACGTTTATAACCGGTATTGGTCATTTGCCATAGGGTGATGGTGCCACCCTTCTCCTGCGATATCAACAGTTCATCGTCGGTATGGTGTAGGGCAGTGATCGGTTCCTGATGACCCAGCTCGAAATGTAAACTGGAACGGTTTGTCGAGAGGTCCCATAGAAAGATTTTGCCTTTCGTGGTGCCAGCCAGCAGACGTTCGTTTCGATGGAAGCACAGCGAATTGACGGGTCCCATTTCGGCACATCTTAGGGTAAAAACGGGATCTGGAGGTAGTACAGCCATGTTTTTCTTTTTAATTTATTCTCTCCTTGTACTAGGGATGGGTAAGTCGATTTGCGATTAATCGAATAATCGACTTTTAGTACTCGAAGTACGGAAACTTGAACTCGACTATGGACTTGGGTGAAAACCGAGTACTCGACTAATCTTAGTCGATTGCATGGTAGAAGAATACAAGTAGTCGCATCGACACAGCTGCTGGGACAATGAACTCTCAGACAGATTTTGGAATCGAAAATGTTAAATGAACAATTATTGAAATTTGTAAAAATTCTTGAAAAAAGAATATTATAACAACCTCCGATTTGCGTCGTATAAGAAAACATATAAAAATCTACTTATTTTCGACAAAATTTTTTAAAAATGTTGACATATCAATGTTCCTAAAATGTTGACATGTTAAATATGTTATATGAAAATGTTGAAATGTAAAATATGGTTTTGCACGTTTTCTATTTTTTACTACCGCCGATAAACAATTTTTAAAATTTGTGTTGTTTTGTTCCAAGCTTTCCGTGAAAATTCCATCTCGTGGACAAAATGCATAGCTCGGTTCGGATAGAAAACAACATTTACTTTCATTTAAATGTACAAACGCCACTCAGAATTACAATTTTCATTCATGATTTTTATTTTTACTGGAAACTTAAAATGTTATTAAATTTTCTTGGGTTTTAAGCAGTTAACGATGCCACATGATTTTATCGACGGCGGTATATCGCCTGCAATCACTGAAAAATGCCAACTCGGGTGTTAGCAATTCACTGACAAATGGTGACACAGTATAACGTTTTTTGGCGGTTTAATCGCATAGAGTAAAAAGACCAGCAATTTTAAACAGTTTTTTTATTACAAAAAAAGTAACAAATCTTGATTTTAATTCTTTTTTTTTTAAACAGCTGTTACTTTTTACCCCGTTTTTATGAAGTTTTGTATGTTATTTGCTACCTTCAAATCAATCAGGTGTTGGTAATCATGTTTGCATTAGCACAGAGAGTAACCATGAATTGCGGTTGTGTTCAAAGTGAAACCAATACCCAGGTTATATATTTAGACAAAGACGCCGGTAGTCATACAGCTGCGGTGTCCGAGTGGTTAAGGAGATGGACTTGAAATCCATTGGGTTCTACCCGCACAGGTTCGAATCCTGTCCGCAGCGAATTGTTTTTTTTTAATATTTTTTTTCTGAATTTTTGCAAATAACTGGCATTCATGCCTGAAGGTGAAATATCGCCTAATATTTTTGGGCCAAAAGACCTTCACCCATGTTAGAATAAATTATGACTTTACTGATTATGCTAATCTATTTATTTCAGAGAAGCCGTCTTGAGGCGGAACAAGAAATTTAATTTTATGTGGGGGGTAAGGATTACCGCGGCGCCCGCATTCATCGATAGCAATTAAGTTCAGCTGTACGAATACAATCAAACAAGAAAATATATGTAGAAAAATCAGCAGACGAATATGTTCTATGCAATGTTGTTTTTGAATATCGCGTGACGCACACTGCCATCGCCAGTCGAAAAAAAATTTGCAAAACAAAATTAGGAAAATATTTTGTAAAATTGCCAAATTGGTCATTATTATTGTTGTTAGGTGTACCTGCCCTAATACAGCTGT